ATTGGACTCAATAGACCAAACATAATACACACGGGGAGTAAAATATAATATGGCAAGTTCAATGTGCTTTACAATGAAAAGACGGAAAAAGGATGAATTAAAGAATTACTAGAATTAAATCGCGTTCCCTGTGTTCAACCCTGAAACCCCTCTGTTCCGCCAAAACCATGTTCATCTCCATCTTCTTCTTCTTCTTCTTCTTCTTCTTTCTTTCAGTCGACATATATATATATATATATATATTTAGACGTGCGTGACTTAGTGGAACTCTTTCTTTCTGTATAGTTTGAATTGGGAGTGAGATGCACCATAGTGATGCAGAAACTGCTGCGCAGAACCCCCGTTACCCCGCCTATTTTATTGGTTAATACTCCCCTCTCTCTACCCGTCTCCAACGCTGCCTTTCTTTCTATAGGCTTTTCCGGCGGCCCCCCCAAAATGTTTTCTTCCGCCCACTCTCTCCACCATCCTCATCCCTTGAACCATCCAAGAAAATCCCTTTCACCCCCCACGCCTCAGGGCCTTCTTTTCAAGAGTTCCTCTCCCTGCACTTGTTCTTTTGAGAACAGCAGCAGCAATACGGTGCCGTTGAGGGCCTGGGTGGTATCCAAAGACACTAATAAATATGCTACTCTCGGTGTTGGTGTTGGGTCCCACAGAGCGGCATGGTTCACTACACTTGCTGGTAATTCGAGTAAATGTTGTGAACTTCCTGCGTCAGAGGAGGGAGAGAATGACGTCGAAAATGTGAAAGGGGCGGAGGATAGGAGAGTGCAAAGGAGGCAGAGGAGTGGTGGAGCTGCCACTTTGTTGGTGGGGAGCCCGGATTTACTCACCGTTCCAGGAGTGGGTCCCAAGAATTTAAGGAAGCTGGTGGAGAAAGGGTTTGAGGAAGTAGCCCAGCTCAAACAGCTCTATAAAGATAAGGTATTTTACTGATGTGGTATGGTGCTGCTTTGACTTTCTTGGTTATTTTGAGCACGTTGAACTTTTGTTGTTTGGTATTCTTTTTGTCGGGCTTAGACTGTTGGTGTATGGGAAAAAAACAGGAAAAATTAAGTGAATATTAGTTTCATGCCATAAAAGAGTTGTGTTGACTTGCATAATTATGGGTCTTGCTACACCGGTTGTCGGCTGAGATTGGTGTGGGTGATGTAGAAAACAGGGGGGGTTCTTGGTAGACTTGTATATAATCTCTGTATTCGTCCGTGGGGGAGGATTTTATATCACTTGTGCAGTTAGCTTACAACATAATAATAACACAAGCAGGTATTGTTGTGATGCAGTTTTTCGGTAAATCAAGTCAGAAGATGGTGGAGTTCTTACAGAGTTCAGTGGGGATCATACACAAGAACCATGCTGAGAGTATAACTACATTTATAAAGGAGAGTGTTGATGAAGAGCTGAAGGAAAACAGTGTTAAACCTGCTCCAAAGAAGAGAATAACTTTATGTGTTGAAGGCGATATCAGTGTGGGAAAGTCTACGTTCCTGCAGAGAATAGCTAATGAAACCATTGAGCTTAGAGACCTTGTGGAGATTGTTCCTGAACCAGTTGACAAGTGGCAGAATGTGGGTCCAGACCACTTTAACATATTAGATGCGTTTTATGCGGAGCCAGAGAGATACGCATATATCTTCCAAAACTATGTATTTGTTACTAGAGTTATGCCGGAGAGGGAGTCATCTGCCGGCATTAAGCCCCTCAGACTAATGGAACGGAGTGTCTTCAGTGATAGAATGGTATGTAATAATATAACATCAGATGCATTTGGTATCTAAATTCTC